TACACTTCCAGCATTTACGTTATGAAATTTTGACGAGATATTAAGTAAAGTAAATTTCTAAATATCCGGCGATATTGAATAATCTCCTTGTAAGCTGACCGATATAATATACAGGGCGTCTCTAATGGGTCTGTACAACGCTCCAACTGATATAGTACGACTCAAAATAAGTCAATTTAACTAATTTCTCGTGAAATTTCGGGTCTTTTTGGGATGAGAAATTCGAAGATACAAGGAAATTGTCGATAAATTCGACCATGTGTATTTTATGGTAAGAAAGATAAAGAAACAATACTTATAGGGGGATAGCTAGACCCCTAAGCTTCCCATCCATACTTTCAAAGTGGCTTAATTGCATACATGGTGCTAGAAATTTAATGCCGAGTTTAGTTAACTTCAAACCTTCATAAGTCGTTTTTTTTAAATGAAACACCCTGTATGTTTTTCTATATTCTGATACACAATTTTATTCTCTTTCGAACGGTATCAGGGTTCCCTATACCTATCTCTCACCAGTTATTTATTATTATTTATTCACAGACGTTGCTATGGGATTCCAAACAGAACATTTACAGTTTTTAATGAGACATATCCCAATTTTCCACCAATGAGCAGAATAAAGTTAAGAATTCTCAAAAATCATCTTCATACATAGTAATACACAATTTTAATTGTGTATGTTGAAAATAATAATTCACTAAGATAAAAAAATGACTTAAAAAGTCATAAGAAATTACATGATTTTAGATGATTACACAAAAAATAGTAGATAACTTAAAAACTAGAAATTGTGTATCAGAATATAGAAAAACATACAGGATGTTCCATTTAAAAAAACGACTTATGAAGGTTTGAAGTTAACTAAACTCGTCATTAAATTTCTAGCACCCTGTATGCAATTAAGCCACTTTGAAAGTATGGATGGGAAGCTTAGGGACCTAGCTATCCCCGCTATAAATATTGTTGCTTTATCTTTCTTACTATAAAATACACATGGTTTGGAGCTAGTCACTGTTTCTCTCCATTTTTTTGAAAAAAATTAAATATGTCGAAAACGGTTAATTTTAGGAATAGGGAAACTTCATAAAACTCCACCTAAAATAACACGTAGAATCCAAAATTGCAATAATATATAGGGTGTTCCATTTAAAATAAGCAAGTTGATGGCGACTTCCGGTATAACCGGAAGTGGTACGTGGACGCCATTATTTTAGTAGAGAAGGGCATGCCCGAAAATCCGGTATCCCAAATTTTCAAAATTCAAATCGAAGTAGTCTCTGAAATATTTCTAATGGGCCGTCACCGTGAGACACCCTGTATAACTTGTCGCCTACTACAATTTTTTTTTTTACTGTTCTTCCGTGAACAGTAAGCAAAGCCACAGACCATAAATTATTATAGTGTCACGCTTGATTCCATCGTTTCGTCCTAGTTGACGAAAAAGTTACTTGCCACGTTACACGTTGTCGGCCCGACACATATTGTCCTGGAATTGTCCTTGCGTGAGTTCAACCACGAATTTACCATATTGAAATATTACTGCTATATTAATGCTGAAATGTTCCACAGGTAATTCTGCTAATTAAAAGTTAGCTACACGACGACTTTTCCCAAAGAAATAACGATCTTGTCATATTTTTATTAAACGTCATTATACCAACTACTCAACATGATTTCTTATCCGCAGGGTCTGTGGTGTCCAATTTGCTTCAAGCTATAAACTTATAGATATTGTCGTTTTTATAATATCAGGATTTATTGTTGACTTTGAGCATCATACAGTATATTTGACAATACTTATTAGTTAAAGACGTTTGCATTTGAAATTGTTGTAAAATTTCGGGCGTGCTACGAGCACTGGCCAGGCACCGATCTCCTGCTTAAAGATGTGCAAATCCACAGGGTCGACGTTCAGTCACAAACTCGAAATAAATTCGGTCTGGCGTCCTCTGATTTGGCGGGTGGCTCTCAATCTCTCCGATTCAATGCGGCTTCCAAAACCCACAGTTGAAAACTGCGATGTTGGTCTATGGCCTCTCCGGAATATAGAATTTTCCTGGATTTCCCAGAATAATAGTGGACAGGTGGACCTAATTATCTGTCCCGCCACGTAAATCGAGTTGTCAGGGATGAGGATTGCTGCATCGGGGTGGTATGAGTCGCGTGGAACGGTTTTTGGTCGCAACGACAGTGAAATTGGAAATATCGGTGAAAAGTGACAGTGGAAAAATTGAAAAGTGAGGTGATTTTTTGAACAGGAGCTCCGGATCCATTGGGACATCACCCTTAACTCTGGGTATGATAAGTTGGTTTAAGTAGTTTTTCAGCTTTTCCGACCCGGGTTGGAAAGTGGGGTGAATTTCGAAAATGCAGATCTTTCTAAGATCTTAAGTCTTGTCTTTCTATATATTCAGCTTACTGCTACTATGTGGCTTCCAGTTGTAAATCAAGCCATTTTCCAATTATAATGTGTCCAATGACGTGTCAGGTTTAAGCGTCTTCCTTTAGAAACACATCTCCACACCTAAATCTGCAGTCTTTGGAGGATAGAAGTATACTTGATGATCTCACAATGACATGCAGGGGTCTCCACGATCAAATCTACTGTCCAGATGAAATCTTCGACCCCAGTGATGTGAGACCACGGTTACCTTTCTATATATTCGTCCGAATCTTGATTTTATAGCAACTATAAGGCTTCCTGTTCTAAATCAAGACATTTTCCAATTAGAAAGTGTCCAAATAAAAAAGGAACATTCAGAAAGTGTCCAAATAACATTTAGTGTGTGTTCAAAGGACATTTAGAAAGTGTCCAAATAAAAGTGTAGAAAGTGTCCAAATAAAAAAAGAACATTTTTACACCCGTACAAGACATTTTTCTTGCCGAATCATGTGTTTGACTTGTGGAACTCACTACCGAACAATGTGACATCACCATCTTCGATCAATTCCTTCAAATTTAGACTTTTGTATATTAGGATCACGTTGGTTAGATCTATACTGTGGCTGAGTACAATAAGCTTCAGCTTCCAGTCTAGCCCTGTAGGCACAGAAATTAAGGGATATTAAAAAAATCCCAAAATTTTGGGTGATTTTTAAAGAGCTGTAACTTGGACGGAAATGGTCGTAGAGAAAATCAAAGAAAAGGAAATTGAAGCTTCAAGTGTCTAGTTTTCAGATCTGCAGTTTAAAATTTTTTAGCGTCAGCAGTTTTTGAGTAAACCTAAGAAAATCAACGGAAAAAAATTCTTGTAAATTTTTGTTTCTTTTAAAAATCCTACGGACTTCACAAAATTTTTTTTGGTAATTTCATCATAAAGCTCTTTTAGATAATTTAATTTAATAATTGTACAAAGCTCCGGAACCGCTCAAATTGAAGAGAATTAAATTATCTAAAAGAGCTTTATGATGAAATTACCAAAAAAAAATTTTTGAAGTCCATAGGCCTTTTTAAAGAAAGCAAAAATTTACAATTTTTTTTTTCGTTGATTTTCTTATGATTGCTCAAAAACTGCTAACGCTAAAAAATTTGAAACTGCAAATCTGAAAACTAGACACTTGAAGCTTCAATAACCTTTGTTTTTATTCTCTCTACGACCATTTCCTGCCAAGTTACAGCTCTTTGAAAATCACCCAAAATTTTGGGATTTTTTCAATATCCCTTAATTTCTGTTCAAATATGAACCAATTTAAATCTCTTTTATGTCAATGTTATATTGAAATAGAAAAAGAAATACGTAAAAAAGTATGAATGTTGACTCGATTTCTTTACTTAAACATGGTGCTGACTGCTCATTTCATAATATCCCAGGTTTTAGAAATTGTAGTTCAACTCATGTACCGTTGTCATAGCCTTCTCTTTCATTCCGAACTTTTCCCGTTGCCTAAAATGTAAATCAAATTCGGGGCTTTGACCGCATGAGGGAGTCTATGTAGACATTTTCATTTTGTTTAAATTAAGACGGCAAACGAACCATCAAACAATTCTATTATAACGTAATATTATGAGGTCTAAAACAAAAAGCGGTATGTTGGGCTATTGTAAGGCGGGATCGATATCGTTAGAAACTTGCATTTATAACGCTGATATATCCCCAGGGAGTTTTCGGTAGAATAATTGACTTCAGCAGAACAGCTAATGAAAAACTATATTGCCTGTACTTATATTGAAGACCGGTCAATGGAGTTAAATCATAGAATATTAATAAATCTCTCAAAGCGGCGCCCAGTGTATTGTTGATTTACACATAAGCCACTAACCACGACTATTGGTTTTGTTCGCACTGCAATATGTTCAACGTAATAAGACTCGACATAATTGTCTATTTGTATAATAAAGGTCCTTTCAATAAGTACGCCCATTTTAAAAATAATAACAAATATTTTTTTACAGTACCTACAACGATTTGCACGGTCTATAAGCATGTCGAATTAAGACGTTGGTCAGGATGTGCTTCAGGATGTCGATACAAACCTTTTCGATGGCTCCTACGTCGACAAGACGCCTTCCTTTTATCGGCAAATGCAATTTTCCGAAAATGTAAAACTCACACGATGCCTTATAGGCCAGGAAATATAGAGTTGGACGCGACTTTTTGTTTCGGCAAGCTGAATTTATCACTATAGATGCTAAATTTTATGTACAATAACATATTAGTTTCCACATTCATCAAAATGGGGGGAAGACTGTTTACTGGCTGGTTAATTGTATAATATTTACATAAATTCACGTCTTTCGCTTATAACTTTTTTCCGTTCATTTCCACGAGAAAACAGTAAAGTATTAGTATATTATATATATACTCTATTTTTAAACTAAGAGGAGCGTTTTGAATATTGCGCGCCAAAATGGTGGTTTCTTATTGGTTAATTTCGAGCCCACTTTACACTGCTAATAAATTTTACATTTTGACATTTGTTGTCATTTTACCTCTTAGTTATCATCATCAGTTCGTTGTCATTGTGTTTTTACCTACTTTTCTTTCTATTTATTATCCCAGTTACGTATAAATCAGTTCTTATCAGAACTAAACAACTTATTATATTGTTTATCATCCGTTTTTTCCAATTTTCCATTGGATATGGATGATGCTGTGCCGACCACGAGTAAGGCAGGCGCGGGAATTACATCGCCGTCGCCCCCAAGGAAACGAAAACAACTCAGTTTGGGGCATTTGTCTCTGGCAGAAAAGCAAGCAATATTGAATTTGTACAAGAAAAGCCTAGATGATGAACCTACTCTTAAAACTGTCCAACTTGTATCCAAAATAGCGATGACATTAGGTAAATTTATGTTAACATTATTCTGTTGAACTATATTACACATTATACTTTTTTAGGTGTTGCAAAATCAACAGTATATCGAGCCATAAAACAGTATAAATCTACTGGAAGGGTGTCTACTTCCAAACACTGTGGTGGAAGACCTGGGATTGTTACATGTTTGGATGAAGCAATGAAGAATTCCATAAGGCGTATAGTACACAGCTTTTTCTTTAAAAATGAGATCCCCACTTTGGACAAAATATTAACCGAAATAAAAAGTCGTCAGGATTTGCCACAGATGTCCCGTTCATCATTATACAAATTTATGAAACAAATTAATTTCAAGTAAGGTTGAAGACATATCTCGGAGCAAGTATAATTGCAATAAAAACATTTTATTTTTTTT